AACACCGCCGCTAAGATATTAATCGTGCGTGCTAAAACGAAGGCGATTCATCAGTGCAGCACTTGGCTGAAAGGCTGCACATACCACGCAGTCAAACCGGTGTTTAACAAAACGGTTCGCACTTGCCAAAGGCCTTGCTCTACACATATGTTTACGACTCGTATTAGTTCGTACGGTAACTTCCCCGTTATGATAATTCGGAAAGCTGCACGCCTAGATCTTATGCAACGCCAAACAGAACCTTGCCCAGTCTAGTTGCCACTGCTTTCAGATTGTGTCGATTAGCCGGTGACTCTTCTCAAATGTAAGGCAGACGGTATGAACGACAGAACTGCCTAAAGTAACTTCTCAAATGCGCAAAATTAAAGCGACAGAGTGGAGTGCCGGTACCAGCACCTTTAGTATAATTACTCACCCTTCTCCAAGCTGGCCACATTGCGACTGGTCAACGTGATCCTGATCCTGTGGACGGGCCAGGCTTGCGAGTCATCGACGGGCTTCGTGTCCTTGTAGACAGACTGCAATTGCACAACAACAGAACCAAAGATCCGCTCAGCACTCTTTGTCAGTCGAACACGGGCAAAGACACCACGAGACACCAGTTGCACGATGTCGGCGGCACGTTAGGCCTGGAGCGCGCGCCAAAGTACGACCACCTAGCAAAACATTGAACTAATATTGAAGAAATAGATAATCAGGACGAGAGCAGCTTACCATGACGACCTAAAGAAACACTCCTCTGGCCGACTTAATCAAGGTATTTCGTGCCGAAACACTTGAACAGCGGTGAGCCAGGGACTTTACGTCTACACGCTACGCAAACGTGGTTGGAAAGAGAGCTGCCGGTGGCGATCGCACTGCCACCACACGAGTGCAAAAGTAAACAAAACTATTCCAAATAGACCCTGCATATGCTACTAAAAGCATAGCCTTTAAGATTTGTAAGAAAGACTAAAAGATTGCTAACAATACTAACAATAATGCTTCAGTTTAAATGTGAGATAGTAGTTTGCACAAAACAAAAATATGTAATTTACTGTAATACAGCAAAATTCTACAAAAAAGCTTTTTGTTAGTTTTTTATTATACACTTGTGTCTTCAGTTGCGGCAGCCTGCGTGCAAAACCTCAGTAATAAAACTTCAACAGCCTGCATTGCTTAAAAATTGGTAAAATGAAACATTTCTGAAACAGCAATATTATACGCGACTGTCACAACGCCACAACGCACCACCTGTGCGCGCTTCAATCGTCGATGACGTAACTTCCCCCGTGTTTCCTAGCATGGCGACGTCTACTCTGTGCCGATTGGTGAGTGCACAACTTTACGCCCGAACCACCCTTTAATACTTCGGCCGAATGAGCTCACTGTGACGTTTACAGTGTCCACCGTGACTCGATCTAAGTATCGTCTCACTCGAACGATTGCGGTAAGCCCCCGTACTGCGTGCAGGCGGCTGCGATCGCGTTTGTATGGAGCGTCGCTCCTTGGTCTGTGAACCGCCTGCGACGAGCTGGGTTGTTAGCTGGGCGACGACGCGCTCCTAAAGCAGCTTTTTCTTCGATCTCCGCTGTACTCCTCATTGTCGACGCCACCTCAAAGCGACGACATAGTTCGCAGATGCGGACACTGTGACATAGTCGCGCCCGTATCGTCTTTCTGACGGCTACACACCTTATGAAACTCGACGTAGCAGCGAAAAATATACGAACAAAATGCGTGCAGCCGGATCCATCATAGATTCGCAGCTGGTCTTCGGGCTACCGTGCGTTTTCAAAGGCTTGTCAACCTCCCGTCGACGCCGTGCACAGATCAGTTAGCGATTTGAAGTTAGCGGCTAAAGCGATCGGGGGGTGCTGTTTTAGTTTTGTCCGCTTCAGCGCCGATACTGAAACCAACCGTCAGCCGCCTTTGTTATACGGTATTTGATAATGGAGCATTCGCTACTCGAAGAACACCCCGATTGCGCAGTAAAGTCGGCACAACGTGTAGTGTTTACGCGCGTGGATGGACGACGCTCAACGCGTCACCACTAAAGCCCATTTCACGTGCTTGAATAGCGGGGCGTTAGTTTTACGGGTTGTAAAACACCCGTTGCCTGTTTGTAACTACCGTAGACGCGAAGTCGCAGCGTTAGCTTGCTCCGATGTTTCATCGTATCTTCCACCTGTGGCACCAGTCGCAAGAAACGAGAAGTTTCGCGATAAGCCACGGTTTGCACAAAATTTATCCGGAATTATGATCTTTAATGCCCCAAAAAATTTGTAAAGCTTCTGGTCGTAGGTTGGATGTCTTCGAACGGTAGTTACTGATCACCTCTTTGGTGACTGTCATGTCGGCGAGTGTATACCTGTCAGATTTCGCTTCATATTAGACTACTACGATATCCCGTGTCTCGCTTCTGCGAAAGCCAAAAAGTGCTATGGGAGTTACATACATTGGTTAAGTAGTCAAAAACTTGTCACACTTGTTACTGGTATTGTTATCATCTCTGTATGACCTGTCTTCATTTAACTAAGCTGCATGAATTGACACCTTGGGAGGTTTTCGTCCCGGTTAGGTTAGTCTATCTACAGCTTCACTTAATGCTGACATCACCACTACAGAAAGGGCATGGCGTACCTGAAGGCAATGATCAGTTCTGTGAAGAAAATGTCACATTTGTCATGGAAAACTTTTTGTCATCTGTGCACGTCTTGCTTTTCTGTGACCAAACCTTGCGAATTCACCTAGAGATTTTTTTCCCGCGGAAATAAGTTGGTTCATTTACAGCAGCGCCTAATACTGGTATCACCAGTGTAGAGACCGTGCGAAGTACTTGGGGGCCTTATACACTTTGGTTAACTCTATAAAAAGCGTCTCACATTTATCATGAGAAACGTGTTTTCATCCGTGTGTCCAACTTTTGTCTTGACGAAGCCATGGCTCAACTTTGGCTTCATCCGAGAATAGATTCAAAATACTCTTGGATATATCGAGGGGCACTCATTGTTGTGACTGTACAAGCTGTGCAAGTTTTTCGTTTTGCTGGCATTGTCTGTGCGGTAAAGTTCACAGCTGGCTTTGTGGATTTGCTGCACTCTCTGGATTCGGTCTCCAGTGTTTTTATGTGCAGCCCTGAATCTCTCATTTCTAATGTTTTTTTTTTTCATTTGCATGTGACACTGAGGTATTCTGGAAGCTGCATCGCTTTGGCTTTGTTTGAATAGTGTTTGTTTTCTTGATTTCATGAAGAGCAGTAGCCAAAGGTTTCAGTACCAGTGTGTGTTAAAATAGCACAGTTTTTGTAAACGAGCAAAAAACTATAACAAAAATAGCTGCATATGTAAAAAATGCATGGAAAACGCACATGACTTGAAATCTTACCTGACTACCATCTGTGGATCTGCAGTAGACAGCATATATCCTCTCTGTAATATGTCAAACACAACCTTTATCACATGCTTTGCATTTCACGTTATAAAAGATGCATGTAGAAAGTGTGTGTGTAGTTTATGTCATGCGTGGGTGGATATTAATTGCTTTTTACGCACAAAGTTGGCTCATAGTCAACAGGGCATTGCCAAGCTGTTAGTTGCAGGTTCGATCTCAGCTGCAATGGCCACCTTTAATAGCCGTAGAAACGCTATAGCGTACCTTATAATGATTTTGGTACACATTAAAAAAAAAGGAAAAGTAACAGGTCGAAATCAGAACTTCAATAAAATGCACAATTTTTTTTAGTTGAAGGCTTTGGAAACATTGCATGTGATAATGGCATGGTTTATTATAAAATTTTTAAATGTTTTCCTGCAAATAATCACAGTCTGTAGAAAGACACGCGTAAGAAATGGGAGTTCTCAAGTCATTGGCAGTAACTGCTTTCGTGTACAGTTGTTTCATCATTGATCTGTTCGTTAATTTGCAATTATTAAAGTCTTTAATCTGAACAAATAACAAGCCGATACACGAAAATGTGGCAATGTTGCTAATGAAAAAAGAAGGTACCAAAGGGTGTTTAAAAGTTTATGGTGCTTGATGTTATTCTTCAGCAGCTGTGCCTTAAAGGTTCCATTCCTTAATATGTGCAGGCTGTCTAAAGAATAATCATTAAGTTAGTACATAATACCCTTCTTTTTGTCACTTCTAGCAGATAAAATGTGAGAATTGCTTGGGTGCTGACACTGTGGTACCAAAATTGTTTGGACCACTTCATAGTGCTAACTTGAATCTGTGCAGTTTTTGTGCATAGAGTGTGATGAGCGCTTCATAGTTACAAAACTTGAGGGTAGCTGTTGTATGTTATCGCAAACTATTGGTGAATAAGCTAGACAGCTCAAACCGACAATATCACACATACACATAAAAAAATGAGCATTTCACATCAAGACAGCTCGTCTTGGAGGCTTGCTAGTGTTGAGGAGAAAAGCGGTTCTTGTTTTTGGAGGCCATCTGGGAGCATGGCTTAGTGTTACCAGAAAGTGATTGGGAAGCAAATAGTGACTGCAACACAGTGCAAAAACAAAGACACAGAAAGGATAGGACCGTGCTTGTGTGTTTTTGTGCTAACACGAATATATACTCCTTCCAAAAAAGGGGAGGGGGGTGGCGGAGTGTTGAGAACACGTGTCCTATCCTATCTAGAGCATGTGCTTAAGAGTGTAAATAGTTAACCTCCTTGTTGGTTGCCGATCATGTCCAGCTCATGTTCTAGATAAGATAGGATGCATACACGTTTTCAGAAACTCTTCCTCTCCTCTAACTGTGAAAAACATGTATGTTTGTGTTTGCACAAACAAACACGTTGTTGATTGTTAGCGCTTGGTCCCGTCTGTCTCTTTCTGCGTCTTCAGTCGGGAAGTCGAACCGACAAACTTATTCCCACACTCTTTAAAAAGGAAGCAAATTAATAGATGAGAGAGAGGATAGACTTAAACTTTCTTATTGCACGCAGCATCATTTCAGGCCCGCTGTGTGAAAGCTTAGTTCAATATGTTGACGAATCAACCTCTCCCAGGCGGCCATGGGTAGAGCCGGCCGTCGCAGCATCCTGGTGTCGTCCGGCAGGCTTCTAGCCCTGTGGCTGCTGATGAGCTTGTTCACGGGCTGCGCGGACACGTTCTACGTTCCCGGCGTGGCGCCGGTGGAGTTCAGCCGGGGTCAGCCCATTGAGGTGAAGGCCGTCAAGATGACAAGCACGCTGACGCAGCTGCCGTACGCCTACTACTCGCTCAACCTTTGCAAGCCCAAGAACGGCACACTCAACTACAAGTCTGAGAACCTTGGTGAGCAGGGGGACCAGCATCCCCACGGCTGAAATCGCATGCATGGTGGGAGGGTTAGCGTACTAGTTGCCTTTCTTTCACTGACAAACCCACCTGCATCACCGTGTGTATAAATATATCCTTGTGGCTTTGTGCTACAAATGGGTGGTTGTTTTCTTTCCCTTTCTCAACCCTTCCGCCACCTTGCGGGTTTCCGTAGAACTCATTTGCAATACTTGTGCCCATGTGCCTAAAGCTATCGATGAATTCGCACTCGCGCTGTCAATTGCTAGCTTCCTGCTTAGTTCGATTGGCAGAGTGACCGCCCTGGAAAGACGTTGGTCCCGGGTTCGAACCCCAGATCAGGATGAATTTTTTGGCAACTAAGATTCTGAGAATTCTATGTGTAGCTCCGAACATAGTCAAACTTCAGAACTTTAGGAACTGGAGAGCGAGCGGTTTGTGAGAGCACATCTCTTTGGCTCTTCGACGTGGCTCGCAGGGGAGGTCCTCCGTGGGGACCGTATTGTGAACACGCCCTACGAGGTTCACATGGCGGTGGACCAGAAGTGCAAGCTGCTGTGCCACATCAGAGACACTGACCCGCCGCCCATCTCGTGGCAGCTGGAGGACTCGCAGACTGCCGCACAGCGCATTCGGCATCAGTACTTCGTCCACCTGTGAGTGCCTGCGCACCTGTTTGAGACATCTTAAATTACTATGTCATAGTATGCTTACTCTGTACTATGTTAAAAAGTTGACATCACTTAACTTTAGAAAGACATCGTCACTCTCTTTCCACCACCACCGTGCACATTTTGACTGAGGCGAAATAAATTCAGGAATGTTGCCCGTGTACCGAGATCTAATGTGCGGTGAAGTGTAAGAACCCAGGTGATATCACAAGTAGCCTCGAATCACGACAGCATGCCTCATCATCATATCATGGTTACTTGAAATTCCCTAATTATTTTAAATAGCACCCTTAGCATTGACTTTTTCTTTTCAATTATCATTCTATACTAACCCAAACGAACACTGTCGAATATCTCGACACTCACTCTTCTAAAGCCCGCACGTGGACCTCGCACGTAAGTGAAATTAACTGAACTGTGCGCTAACAGTCTCATCTATTCTGCCTGCACGACTTTCCTACATCCTAAACTGGACTATGTTAGCGTTATCCCGGATCTTCATTTTAGCCAGCCTGTCCGGCCCAGTTCAGTTGGCTTAAAAGCCAAACGCCTCAGTACTCCTAGTCCCAGTACATCTGCACAGCTGCAGTTATGTTAAACCTTCCAGTATTAACCTTTATCACTGATTCTCGCAGATACTCCAGCAGGTACATGCGTAATTTCACTAACTCATCACATGTCCTGCCACATTCATTAGAATGCTCTTCAACCTCAGCACGCCCACCTAGGAGCACTTACAGTACTTTTTCACGACCATGTATCGGACTTTTCACGACCATATCTGACTACACCCAATTGGAAACTTTCATTGATGTCAGTGGCAATGTTTGATTTGCCAAGATGGTCACATGTATGTTTATTTTCTTTAACAACACATTTTCACGGCTCTGCTTCCCCCATCTCTCCTGTCTAACTCTGCCTGGTAAGCTGCCTAGTCAAGTAAGCGAGCAGTTAGCGACAAAGCTAAAGTGCACAGATGCGTAGACAGGCTGTCCCACAGCACCTTATGGCTATGTGATCCGAGTTACAATTGCCAGATAAAGCAGGAGTTTCATGTCATGAAAATATTTTCGCCCTGCTTTCCTGTTCGCATTGCAGGCTTGCAGACAATATGCCATGCGCGACACGCCTCGAATCATTTGACAGCAGTCAGCCGGTTTATGAACATGGCTACCGGCTTGGATTTATAGAGAATGACAAGGTATTACTTCATTCATTTCTATTTGTTTTAGTCTTTTAGCAGGAAAAAAGTTTGTTTTGTGCTTGTCTTAGCACCTAGGTGTCTGTGTTTTGTTTGGGACCTTTGCTTACATGTACATGTTTAGATCTGTTTCTCTCTCTGTGTGTGTGTGGGGGGGGGGGGGGGCTTACTTTTTATGTATATATGACAAATACTCATACTTGAAGTGCATTCACTTGGAGTTTTAGGGTCTTGTTATGGTTTTGCAGGCACACTGAAGTAGTCTTGTGCTGCGATGTTAGCGCAGATATGTTCAATGTAGTATTATGGTTATGCCTTACTAAAGTAATAGTAGCTACAACGGTTGATGCCTATTTATATTTTGCCTTGCAGCCATACATCAACAACCACCTGAAACTCATTTTGTACTATCACACCGAGGACAAGTAAGTGTTCCAAGATGTGCCACCTTGATTTGCACCACTTTCTGTGCGTTTAGTTCATTTGGGATGTTTTATTCCAAGAGAGTAAAACTACAATACAGAAAACAAAACTTCATTAAAAACTACCAATGCAGGAAATGTGCATACGTTTGCAATATGATTTGCCTTTCGGCACCTTGTGGTCAGGATAACCTTCACAAATGTAGTATTTCGAGCGTCTTTTTTTCTAAATTCTTCAATTGAAAACGTAAACCTTATTTTTTGTTTCATGTTCTGATTCCCTCGATCCGTTTTCTATTGCAGCGAGCACTTCAGGGTTGTCGGCTTTGAAGTGGCCACCAAGAGGTTTGTGTTCTAGTTATACTAGTATATGAACTCACTCAATCGCACTTTAACAGCTTTTCTTTACATTATCAATCATTCGCTCCACAGGAGGCTTTGGTTGTACAAAGTGCTTTTACAGACTCGTACACTTCTAAGACTAGAGCCAAGTGCTAAAGGGGTTTTGAAGAATAATTTTCAAAATTCTCGTTTCTGAAAATACGGAGTGTATCAGACACAGAAAGTGGGTATGTGCCAAGTGACTCCTACCTGCAGTATAGTATGCCATATACTATGCATTTCCGTGCATCATATAGTGTAGTGGGGGGGGGGGGGAGTAGTTAAGTGAGGGTTAGCAAGAGGGGAGGGAGGAAAGTGTGCAATGTAGAAAGCGATAGAAAAAAGTTAAAAGATAGTAATAGTTGTAAAGGGAAACAAAAAAGAAATAAGAGTGGCAGAAAGAAACCACCTTGCATTTGTTCACAAGATAATGGCACTTGCTTGCCAGCTGTGCTGTGTACTCCGATTAACCAAGCGTGGAGCTGGCTTTAATTTTTTATGCTGAATTTTTCATGTGTGTGTGTTTACAGCGTACACAAGGATTCGATGAAGTTCCACAAAGGCGGCTTCTGCGAGTTTGACCCGAGCCAGGCCAAGAAGCAGGAGGTGAATGAGAACGGCATCACGGACCTGTACTTCAGCTACGAGGTGGAGTGGAAGCAGAGCAGCATCCGGTGGGCCTCCCGCTGGGACACCTACCTGGCCATGACTGACGTCCAGATCCACTGGTTCTCCATCGTCAACTCGGTCATCGTTGTCTTCTTCCTCTCGGGTGAGGCGTCCAGCCCCTGTCCTCATGCTAAAGATAAAGAGGCCAGAAAAGACATCCTCATGCATTCAGAAACAAAGTGGTAAAATTTGAGTGCACTTGGTCCAACACTTAATTTATGCCGAGTATTTTTATGAACATGCGTGTAGCGTGCGAGATTCGGCTAATAGTGGCGTTCAAATTCATGGGAGTCTATCTGTATTCGAGTAGAGACGACTTTGTTGAGCAAGCCACGTAGCTTGAATCATCCATTGATTCGAATTGTGTGAAGTCAAATTATAGAAGTTGTACTACTCTAGGCAACCACAGTTTCGATAAATGACTTCAGTAACTACGTTATCTTTCTGGTCACAGTCATATAAAACAAGCTATTCTGACTGTCTTACATTGCATACATTTTTTTAGTTTAGCATTATGATATCTTACTACGTTTATCTATTGTACTGTGTTTTATTGCTTTAGTGCGTGTTGATTCTTTCCATACTTTCGTTTAATTAATCTTTCATTTAGGCAATGTTATGTCCCCTACTTTCGTTTAATTATTCTTTCATTTAGGCTGTGTTATGCCCCCCTACTTGGTCATTCTATCACAGCATTGTGTAAATGAAATTAAATTTAAGAAATTTCTCGTGCTAATTGAATAGGTACACTAGTCACTCCTTTCATGGACACTAGCGCCAGGATTGCCTTCTGTGCTAGTTTCGTGGGAGAAGCCATAATGATTGTTGATTAATTTGTTTCTATTTCTCGTTTGCTTCAGGCATGCTGACCATGATTATCGTTAGGACGCTGCGAAGGGACATTGCCCGATACAACAAAGATGAAGACTCGGTGAGCGCCCGCTTGGCTGCTATTCAAACATAACATGATTTTGTTACACTTCAGTGCGCACCATATAAGAGAACGTGGGAGGTTATGATGATGATAGGAAAGAAAAAGAATGTGATATGTTTACTTGAATAGAGACAGAAAGTTTTGAAATGAAGATCATCAGAGTAAACTCAGACCTCATTACTATAATGACGTTGCATCTTACATGAAAATAAGTTAGTTGTATCCGAAAATTTGTTGTAAAGGTGCATTCCTAACCTTATATCAATTACAAGACTATTCTTCATTTGCTTTATTATAACTGATATTTCGTTATATCTGGGTTTGCTAAAGTGAGGTTTGCGTGTACTGTGATAAACCGTCTACTGCAGCTTTGTGTTGTCGACCCGAGGTCGCATCAAATTGGAGATGTCTCGTCCCTGACGGAGTCTTTTTAGCGTTTTACGTAGTCCACTCAGTATTAATCTGAGTTCGGATGCACTCTCCATACCTATGCGATACAGCGATTTCATAGGCTTTGATTGTTCTGATTTTGTTTTGCTCAGGAAGACGCGATGGAGGAGACTGGCTGGAAACTGGTCCACGGCGACGTCTTTCGTCCGCCGCAGTACCCCAAGCTCTTCGTCGCCGTTGTTGGCAGCGGGATTCAAATCTTCTTCATGATGTTTATCACAATCGGTGAGTGACCAGAAATTGTAAATTCCCATACACATTTGTTGCATGATAAGCACCGCGATATAAATTTGATATGACAGAGCTGTTAAATATTACGGCGCATAAAAGAAGATAGGCATTCTATGTAGCATCAGGCTTGCGACCAGAGATCAGTCAAGCTCGTATTGAAGGGAGCTGGAAAAATAGGGAAAAAAAGTCTGCTCTTGGTGAAATGCAATGTTGCTATAGAAGATAAAATAAAGAAACAAGGGAGCTGGAAAATTAGGGGAAAAAATCTGCTCTAGGTAAAATGCAATGTTGCCATAGAAAATAAAATAATCATTGCACAGTAGTATCAAGTACAGCATTGCATGTAGTTCTTTCTTTTTTCAAAGCAAAAACACATTTCTTCACTTTTTACTTACAGCAAGCGGTGCCCACGAGATTCAGACTCAAGTTTATAAAACAAAATGAACCGCAGTCCTCAGATAATAACACCAAATGGTATAAAGGCCATGGCAAGCCTTCACATGTTCTACTTGAGTTCCACAGGGCATTTAGTGATGAATGAAAAGATGTGAGTGTGAATATAAATATTTCTTTAAGTGTATGTTCATTACCAGTTATTGTCTGCTAGTGAAGTGTTGCCAGCTCAAATGTGCAAGCTCCCGTGACATGCATTGTTTCAGCCAGTACAGCATGTTTTAAAGGAATTTCATTTATTGCCACTGCCACGTAGCTCCACCTTCGACTTTGTTAATTTGAAGGTGGTTACACTTTAGTCACTTGCTGTTTGTAAGAGTGCTCTCTTTTTTCTTTTCTCCCATTCCTTAATGGTTTTGAAGCTGCAATAGTGGGCAAACATTTCGCTCAGCTAATCTATCCAGTTAACATCAAGATTCTTTTTGCTATTACAATCTTACTTTCAGATGCTCTGTAGAGTACAAACAGTTTTTTATTTTGCAAACTTTTCTCGGAACCTGAAAGATTCCTGTATCTCGATATGCGTTGCATGAATTGTGCTGGGGTTGCTTAACAGCGCTAGCTTTCAGAGCAATTCAGCCCAGAAATGTAAGACAGCTTGTTCTTCTGTCAAGTGCCTTGCTATCCTTTTATTTGTAGTCTTCGCCATGCTGGGAATGTTGTCACCAGCATCTCGGGGAGCCTTGATGACTGCCGCCATCTTCCTCTACGTCTTTATGGGGTGAGTTTGGCAATGCTAGGTTCATGATTTTAAGAACAATGGGTCCATTTGGGCCCTAGGATCACGGGCTAATAAGCTACGTCGTGCCATTTATTGCCTAAAAAATGAACTTGTCGTGCTGTTTTCATCAAGTAGCTTTTTTTTATCAATGATAAAGCCAGTCTGAAAATGTTTTGCATCTGAGAATTGCGTTGTACAGAAAATATGGCTACTAGAGGATGGCCTAGGGTTCACGGTAGTTGCCAGATGTGTTTCTGTTTGGGCAGGCATCATTAAAGATTACAGTTTGCTGGACTTTTGCCAAACTTAGGTTGATAACTCTTTTATACTAATCTGGCATTTCTATTTTGTGTGGATGACCCTGTACATGTGCCTGCAAAGAGTGGCAGTGCCCTGCTGGACTGAATGGTTCTGTGTGTTGTAGGGTTTAATCATGCTTTAGCTTGGAAATGTTATTATCCCCTTAGTTCTTTGACAAAAATGATATTGAGTGATTGATTGACTTATCAATCAATCAAGCTTTGGTTTTGCCATGCTTTTTTACGAAGCACAAGTTGACTGTTCTACCGTCCTGTAACTTGCGACTCTCTGCCCAACAGCTTGTTTGCCGGCTACTTCTCGGCGCGCTTGTACAAGACCTTGCGGGGTGTCCAGTGGAGGAAAGCAGCCTTTCTGGTAATACATTTTGCTTCTTGTCTGGGTTTTTGCTTGTCCTGGCGAGATTGCGCCAGAGATTTTTATCGGCGGGTTACTGATTTTTTATCTGCAGTCACCCGCAGAGGCCATAAGTTAGCGGTTGGTGGGCTTGCATTAACCAAAACCTTTTCAGCGCAGTTAGCCCAACTGCTGCTACTTTGTGCATATTAGCCTGTTTTGGCATATGCAATGCCTTCTGGTATTACAGAGTTCTTGATAGGCCGAAATCAAAATTGACTAAGAAGCAGCGCCCGTTAGTGCTAATGTTCCATCGCCGCTTTGCAACATGGTGAGGTCAGGTCACATCATGTCGCCATGGCCATGTCTCCAACTTTCAATCGCAGTATCAAATATAGACTGCAGCAGCCAGGTTTTGATGAAAAATTAATGCAGAAACACCCTTGTTCTCCTATGTAGGGGTATGCTTTGTACTCAAGGTAGTTGAAAGTATTTCGGAGTTCGGTTGTTGTTGTTGTTGTTTTAGCACACGAAACCACAGAACTTGCATTTTTCTGTGTCGCATTGATAAACAGGTCACTAATTTTTGAGGAATTGTTCAACTCATGAAACTTTTTCTGTAGAGCAGTTTGTGTTTTACATATAGAGAGATAGTAATGTCACCATTCCTGCAGATGTAAAAAAACATTGACACGCCACTGTAGCAATTGAACGAGGATGATTCCAAGAGGTTTGAACGAGCATGAGTTGCCAGAAGACCACAGCATTTAGTGAGTAGTAAATGAACGAATTCGTTCAGAAAGATATCGAGACCATTACCCTCAGTTATTGCAGTTCTTGTTTTATGCATCTACTTTGCCACCGACTGGCCTTATACCCGTTGGCAATGCGGTTTGCTTCATTTTGCACTCGTTCTTTGCTCGCAAGAAGGCTGGTCGGCTGATTGATATCCATGATATTTGGGCGGATCTTGGTGCTTTGTGCGTGTCTTGTCCAAGTTTGCGTTCAGATACGCTGCTACAATTTGTCATGATATTCACGCGGTCTTTTTCTCTTTAACGCAGACATCAATCCTGTATCCAGGCATAGTGTTTGGAACGTGCTTCTTCCTCAATTTCTTCATCTGGGGAAAACACTCCTCAGGAGCGGTGAGTTAGATTTCAGAGTTTTTATTTAGGCCCTTGTGTGTATCGCATTGGCCTCTAGTACTCATGTTGCAGATTTTAGAACAATTTCTGCTTCTCAATGTTAATCACTTGATTTCTTGCCATGCATAGGCTCTTTTTCTAAGTTGCCATTTTTAAGCTGGTTCTAATGCCATATTAGTGGACCATTAGCTTGACAGGTAATCTGAAGCCCAACAATTTGGCGACCTTCACAATCATATCATTCTGAAATTTAGAAACCCCAAATCTACATTATTAATGTGGATATTTGTATGAGAAGATAGGTATGTGGGGTTTGATGTCCCAAGCTATTGTATAAGAAGCAAACTTCAATTTGTGAAGACCTCATTTCAAAGAGATTAAAATAAAAGTATTTTTTCAGGCTGTACTATTGAGAAAACTTCTTGTGCTTTAAAGTGGGACTTAAAAACTATAATGAAAGTTCTAACGAAGGCTAAGCAGTGTACTGATGCAGAGGAACAGATACAGTGGAGTGTTTGTTAATTTTGAAGCATAGTTCCATTTAAGAAGGCATCTTAGAAATAAAAATGCTTGCAATTGTTCCAAACTGAATTAGTATACAAAAACTGTTGATTATTTCTGACAACACTTACTGTCTGGGTAGTCGCCACATAACCAGATAACAGAAACTTGTGCCCTTATCTCATCTTAGTCCGTGTATTTTATTGCTCCTCTTTACAAAAAGACCACCTTTACAAAAGGTCATATGTGGATTCTATTGCTTCATTTGGAATGTTACAAAATTTTCAATAATTTAAGTTCAGATTGAAGTGAATTCAAATACTGTAATACTCATTCTTATATTTAAAGCACTTGGATATTCTCATAAATCTGAATAATACACTTGAGTAATGTTTGTGGTTCACTCCTAAAGCAATGTGATAACATTTTCCATGTACTCCTACACCTTGACCTCGTTTCATAAAACGACACAACAGTTCCTCCTGAAATTCACTGTCACTTTTTTTCTGTGGCCTTAGCTAACGATTTCTCTCATCTCCTGTTATCGCTCAGGTTCCTTTTGCCACCATGGTGGCGCTGCTGTGCCTCTGGTTCGGCATCTCAGTGCCCCTGGTGTTCCTGGGGTACTTCTTTGGGTACCGCAAGAAGCCCTACGAGCACCCTGTGCGCACCAACCAGATTCCTCGGCAGGTGCCCGAGCAGGTCTGGTACATGAACCCAGTCCTCTGGTGAGCACTGCTTGACACACATATCTGCAGCGTTACTTCTTGTCCTAGCCTTTAGTGTTTGAACTGGCTTGCTAAATGCCTTGTCTGAAGCACGGCCTACTGAAACTTCTTACCTCTACAGATATCTCCACCGCATCATACCGTTCTAGTTAATTAAGAGGGGATGCTACACCTTCCAAAAACTCTTTTATTTTTGCGAGTACCTCAGTCAAATTTGGAGAGCCTATGTAGATTTTACTGCTGATTTCAAAAATCTAATTCTTTTTTTGCTGTGACAATTAGTTTTAAAGATATAATGAACTGCGACTTTTTCAATTAAGGCCTAATTAGCTAATTAACTGTAACTTGGATATTGATGTGCAACCTATAGAACCAATTCGGTATGTTCACAGTGTGCAATAAAGTATAAATCATTGTTCTGGGCTATTTCGAAGCAAAGTTGTGGGATGTTGAATATGACATGAAAAATTTCCCCATCTACACTTGAAACAAAAAGATCCATTTAGAGAATTTTCTCCAAAAATTATTACAATAAAACTTACTTTACGACACATCCCCTGCATTTATCTTCGAAACAAAAAAGAAATCGTAATGATAACCCAGATAGAACAAGAGATATTGCTCCGGCATAATGGGAAGCACATGAAAATTGTCGTTTTGAGAAATCGAGAAAAAACGTGGGCACACATTTTTATTGCAGAAGATGCAACAAGACAACCTCAAAACGCACCAGAAGCATAGTCTGAATGCATTCTGTGCTCATGCCTCCTCTTCACTAGCTTCCGGAGTTCCAATGAGGCTGTTCTTTTCTTGTTGGAGACAATGCTGCGACGGTGGTCTTTTTCTCTCGCTCTCCTGGCACCAGTACTTGTCGCATTCATGTCCATTTCACCTAAGATTGCCGTTGCAGAATTCAAATTGCCCGTGTTGAAGCGCAGCACTGCTTCTGCAACAGCTGCTTCAACAGCGAACAGGGACGCATGGTGCTCCTTGGGGGCCAAACTCCAGATTACCGAATGTAGGCTCTCGTTGGAGTTCTGCGTTTTGCCGCGTTCGCACCTCTGAAGCAGGGCTCTTTCCGAAAGCCGGGTATAAACCGGTAGTAATGCCTCTGCCACGTCTTTCGGTAGATTGTAGGCATGCCTGGGGTCGGGCTCACCCTTTGCTTTTGCGGCATTGTGCCGACACCATGAAGTTTCACCAGCTGGGCACAGACTGTGGTCCGAGCATTCGTCAGTGGAGGTGACGTGGCGGTATGTGGCCATCACAGCCTTTTGCATCTCGCCCACGTCACCTTCATGCGATTTCAGAGCCCGGCCATAATATGTGCTCAGCCTGGTGATCAGCTCACCTGTGAGCCTGCCTTTCCCACCAAGGCCTCTTTTCCCATCGCACTTTTGTTTCTGCACCAGGTTTCTCAATGCGGTGCCCATCCGTTTCTGTACATGATTAATACAGTCTTCCTTCCGCACGTCAATGTAACCATACACCTTGGCGTCTTGTATGGCGCAAAATGTCCTAGAGTCTCCATCAGACAGCATAGTTGTGTAGTGCAGGCCATGGCGTTCAAGCGACCTCTGAAATAGAATTAGAGCCACCTCCACTTCCATTTGCCCCGCTTTGCTGTTCGTATTTTTTTGGCATTTGTGGTTAGCCTTCCATTCTTGATAGCCCTCACTACTAGGCTTTGGGCCCACCTCGCAGCCTAGGCAAAAGTTGGAAAGAACGACGTAGTCCAACACGTAGCCACTAAATAATTCGATAACTGTGCCCACGCCGATGTGGGAAGAATGGCCTCGCGTCTTCCACGTGCCGTCGTAGCTAACGGCAATATTGCCCCGGTGGCCGAAGCACAAGTCATCATAAATTGTTCTAACCTTTTCCGCACATTCGCTCATAGCGGACTCAGCCGCTCGCGTTGCAGCGGGTGCCAGCGTGTTCTTCAAATGCCGCTGAAACGTCTTGTGGTGCATACCGCGGTGTGAGATGCCCATTGTTGCGAAAATATCGTTCATTTTCGTTTGGCCGTTGCCGGTAGCCACCATCGCCCTCGAAGCGAGAAGATTTACTTCAAACGGATTGCACGTTTTCGTGCCGTTCGCGCGGGGCGAAGTCCATTCATTCGCGATCTCGCCGCACCTTTCGCACTGCACTAGCACTTTCACGGCAAGTCCGTAGTCCCGATCCCCTCTGACGATCGTAGCCGGTCCGTGGCAGGCTTTGCAACACAAGGCACCCATTATCGCGTTTAGGATATCTAGATGCATAAGCAGATAAGGAGCAGCGTGGTCCGAGTCCTGTGCGGTTGCCTCGCTACAACTCGCGGTGAAAAAGTCAATTTTCCGTGCAGTTGCTGGCGCCGATGAAAGCCGGTCGAGCGTCGCTTTCTCCCGGGCATGATTTTCTTCAACTTCGGCATTTGTCACCACCTTGGCGTCGATTCGTAGTCGTCCGGAGTTCGCTTCACCGTCATCGTCGTCGGAGGCAACGCGCTCGGTCGCACCATCGCTGAACGGCCGCGGAGCGTCGACACATCGTTCGTCGGAGTCAACCAAGGGCTCTGATGACTTCGTAGACTTTCTCCCACGACCTTTGCGTTTCCTGTGACCAAATGCGTGCACGGTCCGATACTTTTTTGCGTTTCCAGGCATGGCGATACGATCAGAAGCTTCAGAGTGCTCTGCCAATTTCGAGGCGTCACAGCGGTAACCCTTTCAAAATGGCGGGGGGTCGCGTATGCAGGCGCAAGCCGCGAGCTTCCAGCCAACCGGAAAGCGCCATTTCAGTCACGTGCGCCGTTTAGCCAATGGCAGTGAGCGCGGCTCTTCGTCTTTGAGGCCCCGTTTTTCGAGCCGGGGAAACGCTCAATGTTGCTTACTGAATAAAAAAAACAGCTGAAAATGCGTTCTTTCAAACAAGACCAAAATGGCGCCGATCGAGCGTGTAGTTCCCGCGTATCGTAGAGCCGAAACCTGCGCTATTCGCCCTCAATTTAAAGGGCAGGACGCCCGTTTTCGGTTTTTTAAAGTTGAATAACGATAAAAGTTGATGGTATTCGGCTATGAAATTTTGTAAATAGGTGCGCAATGATGTCGGGAACGCGAAAAGAAGGTCCGTGAAAACTCGATTTTTTGGCTGATTTTCGGTCCCAAAGTGCCGCGTCCCCCCTTAATTCTGCCAATGGGGATGGAATGTACGAGTGGTGTGGCGCTAGTCAGTACTTGTTCACTGTAGTCTCCTTCAACACTCCTGGTGGTGTTTCTCTTAGCGCATAGCACTCACATATTGCATTTATGATGCGTGAATGCACAGCACCTCAAAAATAAGGATGTGAGAAGTGATTTAGGAATCCTTTGAATTTAAATTTACACCTTAGCATACAGCATCACTCAAACCTCCTTATAACATAATGGGATATAACGAAGCAAATGAAATTCCCCTTGAAAGCTTCATTGAGAACCATGCATTTTAAACCTCGTTGTAATGAAGTGAAATTGACTGGTAAATGAATATAACAATATCCTTTTCTGCGGTGTTTGACGCTCGTTCGGCGCAGCTCTTTCAAAACTGCTGCGCCGACCTTACAGTCGCGCCACGCGCTGCCGAGATAGCAGTCCTCCGCACACAGCCAGCGAAAAGGATTGAGAAAGTGCTCAGCCGGTCGCATGACCAAGAAGCGGTGCGGCAGTGCAAAGCGATTTCCCTCTCACTTAAGAACACACGATGGGGAAGCTTCAGAAGACTTTTATTCACAAATAATAGGACATCCGTTATTAATTGAAGTAATTGGTGATGCACGTCTCCACATGTTTGCCTTACAGCAAGTCAATCGATTTCACACGCAGTTTGCAAAGCATAGTAGCACGCGGCTAAGTCCAGCGCCAACACTCTCTAGAAACGATGGCAGTGACTGTCTCCGCTGCTACCGTCTGCACCGAGAAAGGAGGAGTGTCTCCCCACGGAGAGAAGCAGATCGGCATTAGAGAGAGAGCCAACTCTCCGTGACAGCTTTCCTTTTTTTTTCTCTCTCTCCCCGCGCGGCCTTCAAAGTAGGAGGGTCTCTATGTTCAGAGAAGAAAAGGGAGAAGCGAGGCACAGGCGCTTCGCATATCGGCATTTGAGAAAGAGCAAACAATCCGCCACAGTCTTTTCTTTCCTTGTCGTCTTTTCCTTCTTCGGGCGCAGCGTTGAGAGGTGCTGCCATGAGATTGCCCAGGTGCTGAGAGCATTTTCGGAGCGCGGTATGTTCGAATTAACCGTCGCAAGTGCTTTCACGTTCAGAACACATAGCTTTGACAGGACCACAGCGCGAGTTCGAATTAACCGGAAGTTCGAATTAAGTGCGTTCGAATTAATGAGGTTCAACTGTGTTTATTTTCCATCGCACGCGTGGTCGCGTAGCGGTAAATCGGGCCATGAGGCGGTCTCCTTCTTTGCATTCTTATAGGTGTGCTTCCATCTGAGCATACATTGCGACAAACTGTTATAATCGATATAACGAAATAACCGATATAACAAATTAGTTGTGGCTCCCCTTCAACTTCGTTATAAAGAGGTTTGAGTGTGCACCGTACCATACACACGGTCATTTTTACCACGTTGCTCTACTATACAATCAGTACATTACTGCACTGAATAGTTCTCTCAAGCCTCTGCCTAAGTTTGCAAAAACATATATGGCAGCAGTTTGTCACAGAATATGGGCGTTCTCACTTCATTGACGTCCAAATGACTGCAGAGGAGCAGAAAAACAGCTATTCATAGAAGCGACACCAACGGTGAGAGGTTGAACGAGTTCAATTTGTTCAGTAAAAGAAGGCACATAAAAAGAACACAAAGCTGTTTCATCAAGATATCTGTGGCAATAGTTGCCATTTTTCAAGCATGTGACAGATCGGGACATAGTACTGCGCCACTGCGCACAGGTTTTGTTTAGGCATTTTATATCTACATAGTACTAGCATAAGTTTGCGAAAATGGGCATGAAACAGTGGTTGGCAAGCATAAGAACGCAGGCCAGTGCCACCACATGGTAAAAAGACCCGAGTTTGTCTACTGCAAGCCCTCGCAACAGTTAATGTGAAGAACCTTTAGTTCTTCAGAGTAACACCTGCGCATGCCCTAAAATGTCAACATTGCTTAGTAACGTATGCTGTCGGGCTAGTTGGTGTGTAGCTGTGTAAAACATCGTTGGCGCAAACTTGAAAGAAGACAAAAGAAGGGACTCGGAAAAGCACTTTTCCGAGTATCTTCTTTCAAGTTTGCGCCAACAATGTTTTACACAGCTCAACACCGCATCTCTCGCAAGCCTCGCGCTTTACGCAGTGCCCTCCAAAGATGCTGTAGTGATCCGAAAGCAGCTGCTTGACTGTGTTAAAAGTGCCGAGCTGTGAAATGTTTAGGTTGCTGGAAGGGCACTCTTTCACACTTGAGCACATGCCCATGCATGCTCTTCCTCAGTCGCATTAATACTTGCAATTTCTCACTCACACACATTCGTTTAGCGAGAACTGTGAACTGAAAAATAATTACTGCCCTTTAGGCCCTTGTCACAACCTGTACCAGAATATAATGAGCTCTTGTAGGGGTATGACCGGTGTTGAAGCAGAGAGTGTCACCTGGCGGGAGGAAATAAAGCGGAATGGGCTTGTTTTCACGTCGCGTATGGGCTTCAATTATGCCCCCGAACCCAACCCGGCCCTTCTTTGTCTGCCCTCTTTTTCAGCACACTGATGGCAGGGATCCTTCCTTTCGGAGCCATGTTTATTGAGCTCTTCTTCATCTTTTCTGTGAGTATGATCATCCTTGCGTTGTATCGGCAGTCTTGCGATACACACTCGCTTGGCAAATGTTTCTCCGCTTCAGTGTGTGCCTGTCTCATGGCTGTACGCTCTCACAAAACTCTTCTCTCCCCCCACCCTCCCTTTTTTTTTCCCTCTTCTTCAGGCCCTGTGGGAGAACCAGTTCTACTACCTGTTTGGATTCCTCTTCCTCGTTTTCATCATCCTCATAATTTCCTGCTCACAGATCTCCATTGTGATGGTGTATTTCCAGCTCTGTGGTGAGGTGAGTACTCCGCGATGTGGCTTTCACGCTATTTTCGCGTTAAACGCTTCTTCTATGCCAGTAGCAAGCTTGAGAGTGCAATCACACAAGCGATGGAGTAAACGATATGTTTATTATTTCGACCTGGCTTTATCTTGCTGGATCTGCTGCGTGCGAAACTACAAGTTCTGATCATAATTTATTAGATTTATTGTAATTATTCTCATATGCCATACACTTTTTTCAAGTGGGTGCTCAGTGGCTGTGAAAGAAAAGCTGTGAAGAAAAGCCTCATGCCATCCCTCCCTGCTTAGCTTTCAGCACTTTAGTCGGGGCTAGAGAAGGGGGAATGCAATTGCAGCGTGCGACAAACCTTTGTTATTACGTTCGTACTGGGCGCAAGCTAAATATGTTTGCGGCAGGTGAATTCGTGAGGCAATAAGCCACTTTAATTAATCCATTCCATAGGTAGTCGAAAAAAGGTGCTGCAGGGCCCCTTTAATAACCGACGTTTTTTTTTCTCTCTCTCTCGTCCTTCTTTTTCCTTGCATCTGGTGCCCACCGCCACACAACATTTCATGCTCATCTCAGAACTACCACTGGTGGTGGAGATCGTTGATAGTGTCCGGCGGATCTGCACTCTACGTGTTTGCCTATGCCGTATTCTACTTTGCCACCAAGGTAATGACACATTTGTTTACTTATTTTCGCCCCTTTTTTTGCGAAACTGCACTGTCGGGAGTCGAATCATGAATACTGCTTTGACGGGATGGTGTTTACCAACTACGCCTTGGGACTGCCTCTCCAGACCAATGTTTACAAACTTCCTTTGATTTACACAGCTCACTGTATTTAGGCAGTACTAGAAATTAAATGTACCTAAGAGCACCTGTAGGAAACTATGGCAGTTTCAACTTGAATATTATACGGCTCCTTCAACTCTGATCTCTAGAGTAGACTCCTTTGTGTATTCATCCTAAACTCCCCATTGTTTAACTTGGGAACTCCCTTTCACTAAGGTGTTTAGTCCTGTGAATAAAAAGATTTATACAGGATGGTGCTTACTTACTTCTCAGCATGTTCCTGTGCACCAGAAAAGAATGTGATGAACTATCTATGGGTTGTACGTCACGGTAACCAGGAGAGTTACAGGACTCCCTTGGCCCGTTAAAACTTCTACCCTTCTGAGGGATTATAATCCTCACCTACCCAAGGGAGTTTTGTAGGCGGTAGAAGAAGCGTCACACACTTTGCCAAAGATGGCAGCTCTTAACGGTGAAAAGTCTTTAAAAAAAATATGAAGTCCTAGCTGAAGCTCTCCTCATTCATCCATTCTTGTCCATCTTCTCGCGACACATTTTAGAAGCAGATTGCAGGTGCACTTACTGTGGCTTATTAATCGAAAGTATTCAGTGACGCCGGTGCCATACTTTTCGTGAGAAGTGAACCTGTTTGTTGACTGTTTTGCAGCTCGAGATTACCGAGTTCATTCCGACTCTCTTGTACTTCGGCTACACGTGCATCATGGTACTGACTTTCTGGCTCCTGACTGGAACCATCGGTTTCTACGCTGCGTACTTCTTCCTCTGCAAGATATACGCGGCCGTCAAAATCGACTGAGCCGCGCCGATTACGTGCCTTGCCCACCGCCTGCACTGCGCGTCCACGTGCGCCGGCGGCATCGTGCGGGGTGCGTCAACACCGACCCAATCCTCCATGTTTCTTGAGAAATGGACGGAGGAGGTGAAGAACATGCAAAAGAAAGTACTCTTAAACTGGAGAGGGTGTGATGCGTGTGTGCCTGTGTTTGTGCATTCATGTGGAGGACAAGAGATGGCCGAGAAGGTTCGACTACAGTTTGGCGCGAAGCATAAGACGGACGTGCATAATGTGACAAGCACGTCGTACGGGTGAGGGAAGTGTGCAGTTTTTCTTTCCTGATTTCAGTGTGAATCCTCATAGCTGTTGCTTGTTTTCGTTTTGCGCATAAATGTCAATGGATGAATGGCTTGAGAGCGAGACAAATACTAGCTGCGGCTTGCTTTGTACTGTTCCTTTCCGACTCCTTCATTCCGTTTTTTTTTTTTTTTTTCTTCTTTTACCGAACAGCTCCACTTTCGTGGTATTTACTGGTCACGATCGTTATTTGTCTAGCCGTCGGCCCGTCTCTTCCAGCTGCTGGACACTAGTCAGCAAAAACAGCGAGAAGCTCTCGACTTTGTGTACTTCCGATGGCTCATTCTGGATTCGCTACCTCGTCGTGTTGCAAAGCACATCACCGGGGTAGTGTCACGGTGGCCGTGAATTCCTTGCTATTACTGTTTTGTTTTCTTCAAACAGAATGTGTCTCGTAACTAATGCACTTGGTGCATACTTACAGCACAAGTGGCCTCACGTGTTTTCCAGCCTCAACGAAATTAATTAGCGATCTGTTTTGGCGAAGGTATCGAAGGTATGCTTGTAGTCGATCGATCTTCCCGATGACAGCGTTTTGGAATGCCTCAGCTGACGCATCCTGCAGGCCTGCTGTGTAACACGGTCTCTGCTTTCCCAGATGGAGCTTTGGAGGGGTGATTAAGAAATTTTTTTAGCAGTCTTTTCACTGCCGTCAGCTTGTGCTTTTCAAAGTCTTTTGCCCGAGTTGTTTTCACTGGTTGTTCTCTGTAAAGTGTAGAGTAACGGCTCATTGCTGACTGCTGTCCTAACGATCGCTGCACTGTCTCGTTCAGATTTGCCGTTGCCGTAATAGCTCGCGACTTGCTTGAAATCGGTGTTGTCAGCATTGCCAGTTGCAACATTCAGACGACTGTGGCGCAACCAGAGTTCTAATGGGGAATTCAGATGCTCTGGTGTTTGCTTTTATTGCTTGGGCTGTTCCATTTGGATGTTATTATTTTTTTTTTCGCAACTAGTCACTTGCTTTCTAAAAGCACAACTTTGCAGCAATAGTTCCACAAACACAGCTGAACATGGAGGATTAGATTCTTTAATGAAGCACTAATTTTTTTCAATTCCATTACCTCACCCCTCACACACATACAAAAAAAGAAAACACTGCTGCCCTTCTTTTGTGTAACCCTGATTTTTTGGTGTTTCAGTCATTGGTTAAATGTTGCTTACCATTTTTTTTATGCACTGCACTGCTACTCCAAGTTCTCACGGCTCTGTTATCAAATCCATTAGAAAAACTTCTGTTGTTTTGTCATGCACATTCGCTAGATAGAACTTTTCCGCACCCTTTTTCTGCGACTTAACTGAAGGATGGCCATGAAGAAGCTTGCAGCCTTACCGATTTTTTTTTCGCACATCTGGGAAAGCAGCCCTTTGTCTCTGTGGCACTTATACCAAAATATTTTTGCACACATCTGTGGTTAGTCTGCCAGCATCTCTTTTTCAGCAGTCTGTCCGCGGTGCCCTAACGCTTGAATCTGAATGTTTGTACTGTGAGTTGAAAGGACTCGTGCGTCGTAAACTAGGCACTTCCGTAATGTATGCTCTCAAGTGCCTATCTGTAGGAGAAGTGATTTTGCACCCGGATGTCTTGAAATGGCTTGACTTGGATTCAGAAATGAGAATGTAGTGCTGAAAAGTCAAATCGAGCAGCTTCCGGAGCCAAAGAAAAGTGTTTCTGTGCAGAGTATAACCGTCAGAGGACTTAAAATATAGGGCAGCACTTAGTTTTGACTGTCAGAATTTGTAGTATCGGTACACTTTTGGGCGAGATGGCAAAGTGTTTGGAGCTATATCCAGCAAACTATATTGGTGAGTGACTCAGCAGCTCTGGCTTAGGTCTCTGAATCATATTCTGGGTACATTAAGCACTAATTGCTATTTTATTGTCTAGTGCTAAGGATCTGCAATGCACTGTTGAGATATATATTTTCCAATTGTCTTATTATGTTGCAAAATGAGTCAGCGTGTTTGTTTTGTGCTTACGTGGTGCTGTTTATTTTGCGAAACCTCATTACTATTCACACGCATCGACTTCTGTACTTTGTAATTTATGATGTACATATTCCTTTGTATCAAGGAAAACTTCTGATTCCCTTGGCGTTTTTCATTGCTTGTCTAAACTACAGAACAGATGACATGTTTAAAATGGCAAATCAAATAATGGGAGTGGTGTCGCTATGTGCAGTTCTTGTCAGAAGATTGGAAGCTAATATGAACATGACCAGACATGGCATTTGTCTAGTCCATGCAAGGAGGCTTAAAAAAATAATACTGGAGTAGAAGCTATGGCATCATTTTACTGGATAAAGTGTTACCAGCATCGCCCCAACCTATATTTTGGAAATGCTTCTTTAGTGTGGTGCCCGCTTAGAGGTGAAGTTGTTAAGCTCTGTTAGTGTGAATGCTAGGTTATTCTAAAATAAGAGATCATTTCTGATTAAAGTAACATATAGAGATGAGTGATGAGTAATGATGACTTTACCTCCAAAAAAATTTAACAAGACTATGCGGTTTATTTTGTAAAACTTTAACTTAAGTACATCTCAGCAACATTGAGCAGGAAAATTAGCCATAATCTTAAAGGGTGTGAGAGAAAAACATTGCCTTTTTATTTGCTGAACAGCATTAAGCCCGCCTCGACTAGGATGGCAGTCGCTTCCACCATCTTGGAGTGGGCACAGCTTCACTCTTGTGGCTTAATTTCCAATCTAGGAAGCTTTTCAAAGCCTCTTTGGCCGGTGAAATCATGTTGGAGGTTTTGTGGCTTGCAGCGTGCGAGGCTCAGACTGGTGAGGATACAGCTTTGGAGCACCAGCTGGGTTACGTGTGACCAGAAACTGAAACGTTGCAGCCACCGGCAAAGTAGCTTTAGAACTTTCGACCAAAACTGTGCTCTTGTCTTTTTGTTGTTTGCTCCCCTTAGTAAGTTGCAGCGCCTATGTAGGGTCAAGACGGGCGTTTGTGCAATGTGGAATGCCACACTACAACCAAAGCATCGATAGTTCATCACGGTAATGTACATTCATTTTGGGCAACTGACCTTTGAAACATTTACTGATTAAACACACTACTACAATGGAATTCAGCTTGATATGCTCTCGAGTGCCGCGTTAACTTAATGAAGTCAGCGTAGAGATGAGGCCTCTGTTGAAGTGAGGATTTGCATGCAGTGTGTCTGGATTTCACTCCCCTGCAAAAGCATAATGGCTTAGATTTGCCAGACTACGTACAGGTGGTTAAGTCAGACTACGGGTGACTGACAGCTCCGACTCCTTCTTTGACTGACTGGTGCCATATGCGGACTATGTTTTCACATCCACTTGGAGTTATGGAGCGAGCAATATAAAAGGCTTCATCAGAGTTTCCCTTAGCAGTGGACCATAAAGCAGTTCTTTGTTTATCAACAATTTCATTTCTATTCATTCATGTAGAAATAAAAACTAGTTTCACTTTCGTGCAATCACCATGGCTAGAAAAGTTTGAGTCTTGAAGCAGATTTAGTCATTTGTTCGAGCCTTGAGTCTAAATTGGTCTGATTCTTCAAATTTCACAGACACCTGTTCCTGTGTAGAGGACATAGCGGCCGATATAGTGGGCAAATTTTTAGATATGGTGACAAAGAACTGTGGTTGAAACTGGAAAAATATTGCCGTGGTTGAATGCTGTAAAGCCAACCTTGTCAAGCGATAGCAGCAACTACTACGAGAGGCGTGCCGCGGCGTTGTCTTGTGCATCGGCGCCCTGCAGCGACACGACACGCTGTCCACATCTCGCATCGCCGACGCGCGATTCACGTGATCAAGCTTGGTGGTGGTAGTGGTTAGAAGATACGAAAATGCACCTAATCTCTCTGCAACCCGGTCGGGAGCACGGCGCAGTGCCCAATGACAAGCGTTTGGGTCTCAAAGCGCGTGCTCTCGCCGTCCGACGGGGAAAAAAGGGGGCGCGCGGATAGGTGGAAGAATCGGTACTGCGCATGCCCATGGCTATGACGAGGCACGTTCGAGGAGGAAATTGACCTTGGCTGCGCTTCAAGGTCAAAGTCACACGCAACACCGTTTTCTGGCTTTGTATAGCGGGAAGGGTGGAGTTCTCTAAGCACATTCTATAGCTTATGAAAACGGTTGACAACTATTTTTTTTCGTAAATTCTTTTTGCTCCTTAAACATTTAACAGCACGTTGACTGGAACGGTGATTTGGCGTCGGAACCCAAGGCTCGTTCTCTGAAATTGCCGCATTGAATGCACGCCGGGTGCGTTCTGTTTTCGGCTGCCATGATGGCGCAGAGTTTTCAAAGCACTGGGGTTTAGGGACAGGGAGGGCAAAATAGACCTTTAAGCGGGTAGACTTAACTAGAAGGAGGTTATCTGATTGGTGGCTAAAGTACAAGGCACGAGTGAAAATTAAACCCTTCACTGCAAAGTACCCGTCCAACTTTACTATTTAAAGGGGAAAAAAAGATAAATCTAGCGGTTAGTTCACTAAGTATTACGTCTAGGTGGCGTTAGCCGCCGCCCGATCTAAAGGGTACAGCAACATACATACATCCATCCATCTATGGTAACCGAGTGCAGCATATGCGTGCGCAGGTTTTCCGATGGGAGAGAGAGAGAACAACTTTATTCCGTTGGGAAGAATGAAATTTGACCTTGGTGCCACTACGCCCTCCACATCACACAAAGACCCGCACAGCAGGCAGAACAAGTCCGAAAGAACTCGATGTATGCAACAAATGCAAAAAAAAACGAAAGTGAAGTGACGACGCGCGCACAACGGCACCTTTTCTCCTGGGGTTGAAGGTGTGAAGTAAGCTGTTCTTGGATTACAACAAAGATTGTTCGTCATAATTTTAAAAAAGAGGTTCATGGCTGTGACTCCACACTTCAACTAATTACTGGATAGGTCCCAATAAGTGAAGATATTGGATATTGAACTCCCCCCTCCCTTGATAAAAAGAGAGTGCCCCACCTCTTTTGAATACTAATTTTATTAAACATTCCTCCACTAGGAGCTGGTATCGCAAGTTGCGATGGACCACAGTTCTGACCGGCGCTCTTCTTGTTATCGTCCTGTAACGAAGTCTACAGTTACAGTGGTGACATTTTGTAAAGTGCGCTGTCCCACATAAAGCTTCGTTTGGACGTGAAACCAGTTTGCGCGAACGATCCCTGAAACGTTTTTTTTTTTTTTTCATTCCGTTTTGATGAGACCACTACTGGAGAAAATCGTTGGCACCAGAGTTGAGTCGAAACACCCATTAATAATGGAGCTACGAGCACTGAAGAAGTACACTCCTCTTGCGTCCCGCCTTTCACCCTCAACTCTTCCTTCGAGCGCTCGGGGCTAAGCAACGTCGGCGTTGGACTAAGCTCCGTTTTCACGACTCCTGCGTCACGATGTGGCGTAAATCCCGCCGCCGATTCGATACCGGAAGTCTGTGCTGCGAGTGGCACAGCCAATCGGATCAGCTGAAAACGATGACGTCAGTGGGGCAGAGCGCGTCGCTTGGTTTATGGACGTTTGAAAGCGCGTTTGGCTGAGTCGTAGCGATCTGGAGCGATTCGTAGCTTTAAAACGTTGTAATAAATTACACAGCTTACGCAGAGAGCGCAAATTGGTCTCTAAATTACACGTGGGACTTCGTCTACCTCTACCGGCCCAATGTGTTTGTCAAAAATCGTCGAAACCATTTCAGGGTCCCTTTCAGCGCGGACACCTACGAATACCGAATTGGCGTTCGCGTATTGCCGCTTGTAAACCACGTGAATTTGTCCTCAAAGAACGGTTGAGTGATTGATTTGTGGGGTTTAACGTCCCAAAACCACCATATGATTATGAGAGACGCCGTAGTGGAGGGCTCCGGAAATTTTGACCACCTCGGGTTCTTTAACGTGCACCCAAATCTGAGCACACGGGCCTCGACATTTCCGCCTCCATCGGAAATGCAGCCGCCGCAGCCGGGATTTGAACCCGCGACCTGCGGGTCAGCAGCCGAGTACCTTAGCCACTAGACCACCGCGGCGGGGCTCAAAGAACGGTGACGCGAGATTATATATATATATATATATATATATATATATATAATATATATATATATATATATATATATATATATATATATATATATATATATATATATATATATATATATATATATATATATAATATATATATATATATATATATATAGGGGAACACCGGTCTCTTTCCTTCCAACAGTCATTGCACACGCTCCACCGCAATATCCTTTCGTAACGTACGCGTTCATTGAGTTGTCACAAAGTCATGCGTAAGCTGCCCGACATAGGAGCGTGGAAGACGCTTCTACACTGTCTCGCCGTGCCCTGCGCGAATAATTCTGCCTAAAGTTGCTGTATATGCTACCTTTAGGTATATGCTACCTAAAGGTAGCATATACAGTAAAGGCTGGTGCACACCGGCGACTAGCAGCGGTCGCGCGACCATTCGCGACTGGCGACCAAAAAGCGACTGATGTTCACACCGACAGAGGCTGCATGCGAGCGACCGGAAGTCGCAAAACCGGAGAGTCACGTCCGGATCTCGTTATGAGCGAGAACTCCTGAGACCGGCGCGATCAGCTGATCGCCGCCAGCTGAGTCCGTTCTCGCACAGCGTTCCCAACAGCGTCAAGTTCGATTCAAGCGAAGAACAAGACAATTTCATGGTGCTGATGCACTGTGCCATGGTGTCAGCGCCGGCATCACAGATGCCTCCAAAGAAAAAAAAAGCCCATAGTGGATGTGACCATCCTTTCGATCGCGGGAATTGACCGGCCATGCAAGCCGCCTGCCTTCAGAGCTGCGCTGACACGACGAGGAGTATTTCCGAGAGTCGTACGTATTCAGAAACCATCCTTAAATTTCCCTTGACTTGCCACAGCCTACAATGCAGCACAAATGCGTCTCGAACGTGGAGTCTTAAGTCGTTGCCAAGGCATGAAGTACAAACGCCTTCCAAACACGCTGCGTTGAATGCGCTGACAAGTCAAGTTCAAGACAAAAAAAAGTTTCCGAATACGGGGAAAAGACAGTGCACAATTTATTTTCTCTTTACTTTGACGGTGTTTAGCTTCTTGCGAATGCCAC